ATAGAAGAAGGCGTGAACAATGGCCTCTACCGCCCTATCGTAGTGAACGCAGTTTGGAGACCTTACCAAATTCGCCAAATAAATCACCACCCTGGAGAGTGATGCCTCAGAATTCGTGAAACATTTCAAGCAATACGCTCCCACTCACTAATATCTGATATAATGCCTTATAGGACAACGGCTGGACGTTGCAGGGGCCATCCCTTGCTTGTAAGAGGTACTTGAGAGCAAGCCGACATTCGCGATAGAAGGAGCTCTCGCCTTGGAGTAAACGGTAGGCCTCCTCCTCACACGATCCCTACTACATGGGTAGTTCTTACGAGCTTCTTCCTTCCAGAATTCGCCATTCTCATCCGATTGTAAACACATCCAGTCCAGGTAAGAGATGCGAAGTGTATGTCGACGAATCTCAACGAAAGGCACACCCAGACAGCCCTCACAAGGATGGAGGTAACAGATCTCGCAACATATCTTAGTAGCCTTGCCTCCACACAAGGAGGAGAAGAAGAGCCTTACGGAATCCTATGTGCGAGCCATATACTTCTGCCCTCCCCTTCACGGAAAAATTCCTCCGTGACCACAGACGAACTGCGACCTCGGCCATCTCCTGCACCTCCGACCAATTCATTTCCAAGAGGATATCGGGACTGGGTATCAGCGCGGCGTCACTGTGGACTTGCTCGATGTTCAACCGTATCAAGGTTGTCCTGGATAGTCCTGCCCTTCACAGCACGTCTATTCAAGGTCAATTAGACTAGGGAGGACAGCCTGCAAACCTTGGCTTAAATCTTAAACAATGTCAAAGGCCGATAATTACGTATTCCATCACTACCGTTTTTGTTCTTGCGAAGCAACTTGATCATACCCCTGGTGAATCGTTGAGGCATAGACCCCTACTTCATCCAGCTGTTGTAAATCAGTACTAGCAAGAGGACAAAGACGGGCGACTGCCTCAAATACATTTCGTAAAGAAGACCATCTAATCCTGGAGTCTTGTCCAAGCCAACCTGCTTCAGCGCATCCCAGATCTCAGACTCTGTAATGGGACCTTCGTACCTAGCCGCTTTAACGCGGGGAAAGTCGGCCAAATAGGCATAGAACTGAGCAGGGCTCCTGGAAGTAGTCTCGAAAAGCTTCAAATATGCCCGCGTCTGTAGTCACGGTCCGCTTATCCGGCAATGTGATGCTCACAATATGTCGACTGGATGCCATTCGAGCTTCCTTTCCACGTAATTCAGCGGCTATGTTCGTTGCCTCGGAAGCCATTCTTTTAACCTAGCCCTAACTACTAGAGCTTGACCCTTCTTGATAAGCAAGGAGGACAGCTCCGCCTTAACTAAGGTTACGTCCCCACTAGCACGCAATTTGATCGCCTGATCTACTTTCTTTTCATTTTGCCTTTTACGCCGCTAAATCTTCTAGTTTGAGTCGGCGACTAAAATCAAGCAAAATACCTAAGTTTGGATTTTAAATGATCCCACCACTTATTGCCAAACACAGCCCCGTCAATTCCGCTGTATCTTTTGCAGTAGCTGTTCCCGTAAATCTTGCTCATCAAATAATGATGCGTTCATTTTTCAGAAGCCAGCCATCATAACCTTAGGCTTCTCTAAGCCTGATAAGCCTATGATCCGAGGAAACTATATAAAGGAAACTTAGACAATCAAAAATCTCTGAGTCGACAATCTTAACTAGAACTCGGTCGATGTAGCTAGAACGCACCACCAAATCCGAGCTGCCATTCTTAGTCCATACTACCTGCCGTGAGTGCTCATTTCGATACTTATGCCGACAAAACCCCGAAACGAAGTAACATCCGGGTTGTCAGTACCCGATCTTTCCCCTATAACATAGATATTATAGGGAAAAGATCGGGATCAAGAACTACCAAACGTGATGTCATCAAAAAACAGCTCGGTCTGCCGAAACATATCTGGCTGCTTCTCATGGTTATTGGGCACATAAACCCCAATGAGACGAAGAGCCTTATCCTTTATGGTAATATCCAGCACGCAAAGCCTGCCCGCCAGACCTGCGAAAACAAAAGTGCACGTCGCATTCACAGACTTGCTCACTAGCCAGGAAACACCCCTCGAGCGTCCATCAAAACATGCTGAATAAACCCCTCTAGACAGAATGTCCTCATGATCGCGAGATGAAAACCGGGTATCCTGTAAACAGCATACGTTCACTCCGAGACGCTGAAGATCGCGAGATTCCAACCTCAGGTCCTGGGCATTCAAACTTGCTAACCATAGATCCATTATCAGCCTGATTAGGGTTGAGAACCTGGCTTGAACGTGGTCGGGGCAAGGATACCAACAGTCTCCCCCATTGACCCCTGGCTCATCTCATTCTTGATAGTACCATCCTGGGAGAGACCGCAAATATCCCAAGGAAAAGTTAGTTTTAGTACCCTATAGAGGGAGCGGTGAACAAAACTGGGACCCTCCTGAACAGAACCGTTTTAATTTTCTGATGGCATCATTTTCAACGATGGCTATAAGGGGCGACATATTATATGATTTAATGGACCCCTCAACCCTACCCCACGTCTGTTAAGTCCCCAACCTAGTACGAATAATAGTCAGAACACGCTGCGCCGTGGAGAAGTTACTTCGTACTTTGACATCTTTGTCGGTGTATTGCCTAATGGACAATAAGTACTTAAGTTCTCTGATTCTGTTTCCATAGCTTTTAGCTCTTTCAGCTTGGACCGGGGAATTGCGGCAGACATTCTTCCCTAGATTGTAAGGCAGTTTGCTTTGAGTCTTTTCTCTTTTCCATTGCGTCTGCCGATGTATTATTGTCATTTAGATGCTGGGAGAATTCAGAATGTTTTTTTTTTGGCAGGAGAAAGACTGGGTGTAGGACATGGGGTATGAGGTGTACTTTTCCTAAAGGGGCTGGGATCTCTATCGAGCGGACTAATTTTACACGTGGGCTAGTGTATGGATGATGGTTGTAACAATAATTTTGAAACAGAAGAGGACGGAGTAGAGGTCATAGAAGAAGCTGCCTTTTTCCGTTGTCGTCCAATTTGGCCTTGAGCTTCTTGATTTTTTTCAGTTTTCTCAAAACCGGGATCATACTTTCTTTTCTGTTCCTCCAGAGAAGTATTCGATTTAGAATAACGCTGGTAGAAGGCGAGTGTCTGTTAGTGCCTTTCGTCCCGATGGCTTCTGGGGGCTGAGATCCCCTTGTCTGGCGCTTCCCTCTGACCTTACAAGCAGCCAACCATTCCACCTCTTCAGTCTCACAACTGCACTAGCAGCGGGCGAAGGCATTTCGGGGAATGGAGGCGAGAGCACGGCTCGACCGGGATTTTAAACAGGGTTGCTACTTTTCTTCGTTTTCGATTAGATTGCATTCATGTTTCTTTTAGTGGATGACTAGTAGGCAGTGAAACAGACACACATTGGAAATGCACGCATAAATAAACTGGGTTGACACGCCCGGGGTTACTGCCGTAACAGTACCCGTCCTTATGGAATCGAGAGGCCCCACCGGAGGCTACTGCACGGTCCAGAATCATTCACAAAATGGCAATACAATAGACCCGATATTAGACACATGCTGAAGGATAGCTTCCTTCGAAGTTTCTTGAAGGTTCGGATCCCTGACTATCAAGCAGATAATGCCAAAACCCCCAAAACATTTGCCCCTCATTAAGGGTCCTGGTGGGTCCCTTAATGGGGGACATCTTAACCCAGCAAAGATTCAGGCGCAATACTCCGAGTGCATGTCTCTTGTCCGCCTTAGTGTCAGGGCAACAGAAACTCCTCCTTGTGTCAGAAACATCGTACCGGCCTGAAACCTAGGGTACAAAGGCAAGCTTTCTCATAAGACATGAGGACTAAAAGACACATTGGAAGATGGGGTGACGAAGGTGGCTCGGGGTGCAGGTGCATCCCTACCCCTATTTGAGTTAGTATCAGGAGTATAATCGTTAGGCTAATGGCATACAGAGGGAAGTTAATTATTCTATTTGAGAGAGAGAGAGAGAGAGAGAGAGAGAGTAAGAGAGAGAGAGAGAGAGAGAGAAAAAGAGAGATGGAGTTAAAATTAAAATGTAATTACTCCTGTCACGGACAAATGGCATAAGGTCCCGTAATTTATACTGTTTCATTCCAATCTTTAAAATTTGACATTTTCCTTTTTATGGACAGGTCAAGCCGACTTATTTTCAATGGTGGGTTGGTGAAAATTATGCCGACTCTTTTGAAATAAATCTTGGGTTTTCACGGCCAAAGTCTCTTGCTTCAGATTGGTGGTGGATGAGGTAAGGGTTAGGTGGGCGATTAAGAGCTTCAAACTTGCTTTTACCCGGCCGGCTTAAAAGTCATCAAATAAACGAATGTCAATTTTCACATAATATATATATAGTTGAGTATTATTTATACCTTGTCTCAGTTCTTTGAAGCAAAAACATGTTTTAGAATAGCTTCTTGATAAAGTCGAACACTTTTCAGTATGCCATCGTATAAATATCATTTCACTTCATCTCCACCCCTAGACAGACACGGAAGGGAAAGGTGTACGCTTTTTCACCAATAGAAGTGTGCTGTGGGGGCGTTGAAATTAATACAATTGATTCGAAAAATACTTTTCCAAATTTTAAGGAGGTCATATGGTGACAATTTGTTTAGATGTCCGTTACTAATCTTGTCAAAATAATTTTTCGATGCGTTTGGCATCGTTCCAGATAACGTCTTTCCGTTTAATTATACGCCAGGTGCATCGAATCAAAAACAGTCAGTGTATATTTGTTTGCGTATTTACAGCTATAAATATCTCTGTATTGGGAACATGTATATTTCGACATGTATATGTGGGTGAGGTTGTTGTTGAATCTTATAGAGAGGAAGTGTATGCATGAGACACTTACTTAGTCTAATATTTATTTGTACTATTTGCTTTAACATGGCAAAATGAGCGAATTTCAAATGCTGAGTCATGCTTTTCAGCAGGTAAGCATCTTTATAAGCATGAATGTATAGATGTTAGCATTTGAATATATTCACCCCTGTAAATGTATCTATGCTTATGGGTTTTATTTTTCTGAAAATTACTTCATCTATCTATCTATCTATCTATCTATCTATCTATCTATCTATCTATCTATCTATCTATGTGAGAACATCAGTTTGTTATTTTTAAATTTATCTCGATACATTAAATTTGCTCGGAAAGCGAGAGAGGAAATGTGTGTGTGTGTGTAACTAAAATTTGTATAAAGTTAGTTATTTACTTATGTTCATTGGAACACCACAGTGCAGGTAAGTTTGTGGTGTGAAGAATGTTTATACATAAACCTGTGCGAATAAGTGTATGAGAAAATAAATACACATAAAAGAGCACAAAAAAGATGCTCTAAACATTTATATAGCAATGAATGAATGAAGCTCATCAATTTTTGGTAAATCTGTTTTGGTGAATCATCACATCGCCGTTCCCCTTCGGATATTATCACAATCATGAATTTCTTTCTTACTCTTTGAATTTTTCCCCTTTTCCTTTCTTTTTTTTTTTTCTTTTTCTCATCTATTTGCTCTAATTTCTCATAACTCCTCTTTCTTTTCTATTTGCATCCTTTGATTACTCCTTTTTTTCTTTCTTTCCTTTTTTCAACTTAATTAGCTTTTTTAGCTTATTTCTTTTTTTTTTACATTCGTATTTTCTCATATTTCCCCTTTCTTTTCATTTTGCCCTCCGTTGATTTCTCTTTCTTTATTTTCTTCTTTTCTTATTCTTTCTCTTGTCATTTGCATTTAATCTTCTTTTTTCTTCTTCTTCTTTCACCTTATTACTTCGCCTTTATATTTCATTCTCCCATTCTTTTTATTATTTTATTTTTATTCTTTCAAATCATATTGTTAAGCCTTATTCCCTTAGTTGCTTCGGAAAAATAAAACATAGTTGACCGATAAACAAAGATGGCTAATGTTAAGACTATCAAAATGTTATTTCCCATTATTTAAATCACAAGCATTGAAATAGGACAAAAATAACCACTCTCTCTCTCTCTCTCTCTCTCTCTCTCTCTCTCTCTCTCTTACTTATTAATATGATATCGATTACTTGTTTTCTGGTATACTTTAATTTTTTTCTTTTTATTTAAACACATTTCATTGTTTTCATATAATTCCTATTTTTAACCTCCATTTTGTTTATTTCTTTTTCATTCTCTTTCTCTAACTGTATTTACCTTTCTCATTCGTTTTTCCTTCTCTCTCTTTTATAACTTCCCTCTTTTGGTTGGTTATTTTTCTTTCTTATTTTTATTACATTAGTTTCCATTTTCTACTCTTGTTTTTTTCTTCGCCAACTCTTGTTTCGTTGCTTTTATATAACCTTATTTTTCCAACCTTATTAATGTTTCACTAGCTTTGCACGGGATAGATATAACACGGACGGTGTTTGGGGGTTGAGAAAATGCGATTTTGGAGCAACAAGAAAAGACAAAAACATGTTGATGAAAATACAGGAGAAGCTGAAAGTTACATGTGGTGGAAAGCACTGTTAGGCTCGAAAGGCCTCTAATTTTGTGTGGAAAATCTCATGCAGTAGTGCTAGGAAATACAGCCAGGATTTGAAGTCAGTAAAAGAAAGATATTCAGTTAGAATACAAGACTTGGACAGCTAATCAAGGATCCTGAATTCGGACTCGCTCGAGGACTGAGGTAAATCATAGTGTGGATGAGCTGCATCGAAATGCAGGGATCTCGAGAGCACAAAAGATAAAAAGCTGGGATGAGTTATTTGCTTGTGGCGGGAAAAAGAGTGTTGCTCTGAATAGTTTTGAGAGGGAACGTTCGGCGGGGAAATATCGAGGAAGAAAACGGAATAAACCATTAAATCGGTGTGGTAATGAAGCAGCGAAGTAAATCTATGTGGCAACTGAGGGACTAAATATTCCGTTGTGTATATGACTTATGACCATATATGACTTACATGTGACAGGAGAGTCGAAAAAGAGAAAAAACGATGAGAAACTGACAAAACTAGTTTTCTATATCTGTTTACCTATAAGTTACCTACAAGCTTCTGCCAACGATGCAGAATAACGCTTTTCTCCAGTAAGAGCAAGTAGATCAATTCTGTAGTTTAAATATTAAAAAGAAGCAGGTTTCTGTAACTCTCCGTAGCTGTAAACACAACGTTTATATCTCTATTACGTATTTACTGCTTGTTACATCTTGTTATCTTTTTTTTTTTTTTTTTTTTTCACGCTAATCCCGAAAAAACTGTCGCTTCTATGTTTATTAGTTCGGTCATGGGGCTAGAAGGCATGATTGAGGGTGGGATCAATAAGTGCAACACTATCTTTCGTATTTACCTTTTTTTGTTTTTTTTGTTTTTTGCTGTATACCTTTTGTTCAAAACTTCTTGTCTTTTTTCATACCTTCTTTCATTATTCCTTTTTTTTCTCCTACACTTGTTGTCTAGATTTTCATCACCAGTCACTATTTTCTCTGATACCATCTGCTTTTCTTTTCCTTTGTCTAGCATTTGTTCGTAAACATTCATTTAACTTTAACTGTACCTACCTTCCATTTCTTCTCTTCAATATCTCCATATCAACATTTTCTCATTAACTCTGTCTCCTTACCCATTTAAATTTTTCTCCTTTTATTCAACTTTCATCTTTTCCCATCTTTCCATTATCGTCTCGATTGCCCAGCCACCCACCAGACAAATTAATATACGGTTCGCTGGTCTCTCTTGTATCAGTGATGCTAATATCTCAATTCCCTTCTCTATGACGAAAATTATTATTTATGCTCATCTAACCCTTTTGGATTTTGTTATTGTCTCTCTTCGTTCTTTACTCAGATCCTCCAAGCTACGTGATCTAACGCCATTTTTTCTTTCTATTTTTTTCTTATTTTTTTCTCCCCTTTTATTTTTTTTTAACTTTATCTTTGGGATTCTTTCAACTTTCTTTACACTTTATGCTCTTCCACGTTTTTTCTTTTATCTTATTTTTATCACTTTTAATTTTTCTACCTTTCCACTTTTTTACCTACTTCTCTCTTTTTCTTCTTCTTCTTCTTCTTCTTCTTCTTCTTCTTATTATTATTATTATTATTATTATTATTATTATTATTATTATTATTATTATTCTATTTCCCATTCATCCTTATTTTTTCTTTCTCTTCACTTATAACGCATCACTACTTCTTCGATGGTATTTGCCACTACTCATTTAATGACCAAACAATGCAACCGCCAATTCGAATCATGGAATATCAGGGATTGTAATGTTGTTTAATCATGAGGTAAATTGACATGAAAATTGCTAGGGTTGATTTAAAGCATAGAAATTATTTGAACCTCAGTATGATTAGAATATGCACCATTTTATATAAAATATATATATTTTAAATATGTGTTATTTCTTTTTTGAATTTTTAGGAAGAAGAAACAAGAGAGAAAACAAAAAAGTACAACTTTGGAAATTTTGTAAAATGTTTGAGAGAAAAAACAAAACAAAAATCACTTGCAGATAGAGTTCAATGCCCGAGTATTTCTATTTTTAACGCTAGGTTGGTTATGAATTTTAATTAAATCTCCTAAAATATGGTGACCAGTACATTGATTAGAGTCAAAGACTGAAAGCTGAGATTCATACTCTGGAATCGAGATGACAACTGTAATTTTTTTCATTTATCATAAAAATCTGTGATATCTGCATTGCATAACATTAAATTTTCATTTAAAATATTCATTTCTGAGTTGAGTGCTTGATTATTAAGGTTCTAACTCTCTTGAATCGGTGCAAAAGAAATATGTCACTAAATATCAATATTTCTATAAAATCTGCAATGTGTCTTATTGAGAATTAGACTTAAATTGATACATTTGTATAATTGCCACATATTTAGATGGGGTTGATAAAATCAATGGTAGGTAAACCATTATTGTAACCTTGTGTTGTGACAAATTAACAATTAATATGGATAAAGAAAATGTTTTTTAAATTAATAATCTGAGGTTATAAAATGCAACGCCAGATTAGCGGTGAGATGAGTTACCAATGCGTTTATTATTGAAACGGAAATTTGCCATATCCTGTGGTCATATAGATCAAGTCATTAATAATGTATTTGATATTGTAATTAACGGCATTAATATTGGTCCTACATCCACGAGCTCAGAGATAATTTCATATTTTTAAATATTGGATTTAAGTAACGTTAATTTTTAATTTATTTTAAATTTGGCAATCATAAGTAAGATTCTTTACACAGTGGATTGATCAAGTACACTAAGTAAAAGTTTATCTTGAGTCACGCACAGTATTTAATAAATCAGGTATATAAAACAATTTTTCCAGTTATAACATTGCATAAAAACTAAAAATTTTTATCAAAAGGCTTTAAAAGTTGGAGCTTTTGCCCAACATGACTTAGCACTGCGATAACTAAATTGATATTAAATATTAATAGAAACTGAAGAGGGGTTAGCATGGGTGAAGTGATTGTTTATTTCAACCACGAAATGAATTTTAGTTTTCTCTTTTTGAATGAATGATATCGAGGAAGCATTGAAATATGCATAACAAATAGATACCTGATAGCACAATAAAAAGAAATAAAAGTGAAAAAATGACAAAACGGCCACGAGAAGCAAATAAAATGAATATTTTAATAAAAGATAATTTATAATAGGACTCTTTTAACTGCTAAACAAAAGAATCGTCAGTCAGTGTATTAAGTTTACTTAAAAGCGTAAATATATATCGTTATATTCTTGGATAAAATGTTTTTTTCACTTTTTAACCCATGCTTAAAGAATTTAACTTGATAGAGATGTTAACCAAACTCTCGGCTGGCTGTCTTTCCTCTCTTTGCGTCACTACCTCGTAATATTTTTTATACGGAAATTACTGATCCCCCATCTGTTGTACATATGGATTCATTTCCTTTGCGTAAAGAATAACGGATTGCAGAAGCCAGATGCTGATACCGCCACGAATAAATCTTATCAGTACTGAAAATCATGCTGCCGCATTTTACTATTCTTTCTTTCTTTCTTTCTTTCTTTCTTTCTTTCTTTTCTTTTCTTTCTTTCTTCTCTCTCTCTCTCTATATATATATATATATTTATCTATTTATACACACACACACACACACACACACACACACACACACATTTACATACACACATATATATATATATATATATATATATATATATATATATATATCTTTATCAGCCACTTTATATCTCGGCCATCTTCCCACCATTTTTGGAAGCCTGGCGTTTATTGTTTCCAAAGAATATACATTGACAGAACACAGATTTCAGAACAATCTTGCACTTGCAAATCTAAAATGCTCGAAGTTTTCAAAAGCTATTAATCATTCTTTTGTTTATGTATCACACTTTCCCATAATCTTCATACACTCCATAGAAAATACATTCTATTTTAGATGTTGTTTGCTATTTTGATTTTCTTGATCAGCGAATGAGCTTTGACCTGACCTTAGGTGATGACTAGACATTTTCCTACCCCGCTAGTTGTCTCTTTTAAAAACACACCAGTTTATTTTATATTTTGTAAATATCTGTTGTATTTTTGACGTTTCCTTTATCTTATCTTTTCTTCTACAGGATATATTTGAATAATCTATTTTTTTAATTTTTTTTATTTTTGGTATCACTGATTAGAGTATCATCCTTCCAAATTAAAGGAGGAAGCCAATGAAATAAAAGTGCATTACACAAGCCTCATAAACGATTAGGAAAAGGGCGGGGAGTAAAAGTTAAAAATAATTTAGCACTGAAAAGATAATTTAACTTCAGATAACATGAATTCAAATACACTGACCGAACATAAAATTGCATATGTATTTCCATTTAATCAATTTTAAACGTACAGGCAACATAACTGGACTACAGTAAACGATGACATTTAGAGATCATCACATATACAGGTTCCAATATATGGGTTGTATAAGCAGTATTCAGACCCATATTAATACACTGTATATCTTCTTTGCGTGATAAAATGGGCCTGTATTCTTGCAAAAATGTGATCATACAAATGGCGTATCCAGCGATATTTTATTCCATACGTCTTGCATTTGTTGATGCAGTACAGCAAGAGTTATAAATGGGCTAAGTAAAGATGTCAAAATTCGTCTCATCATATCTCATAAATGTTCAATGGAGAACAGGGCGCTGGTGAACAGAGTATATTGAGTAACACTGGCATCATTTGTGCGCGAATTATACTGTTGGAATTGGACAACGCCTTTCTATCAAATAAATGGAAGCAGAGTTAAACCCTATTCTATGTGTATACGATGCTGTTTAATGTTTACTTAACAAAAAGAAAAGGCAATGGAGAATTATAATTTATAATATAATGCCGGTGTTTATCCCTGTGTGTTGTAAGCAGATACACTCTGGGAGATGTCGCTCTCTAGGTTTACTTCGCTCACGTAAACGACCATCACACGAAGACAGAATCTGTTGATAACACTGAACAATAGAAAGCAACATTAGATCACTAGGTGGCCTTCTCGTAGCCCCACGTTATACGTAAGTGGAAGTCTGGCTAGAGAAACGTATCCCCATAGACCTGCTGCAAGTAAACGATTCTCAACGGCCTGAATTGATAGACTTGAGGATACATTTATTCTGATCTGTTTTTAGACGCCGTGTAGTCGGCCAATGATGCCATCACATTTCAGAGTTCTGTCTGTATTACGTGGTTCTCCAAAACTGGTTTATGAGTGCAGGAAAGATCATTTGACGTGGGCAGCAATTTAACGAAATGAACGCACACAATCCAACACCTAAAAATCTTCTCTAACTGAACATCTGCTGTCCAATAGTATGTATATATTGTACCCAGGTAAAAATCAGTATGGTCCTTCAAGATGTTGTATTTTAATTTTCTGTTTTTTTAATATGAGTAGATATATGATAAAACTTAAAATAATAATAATATGGAGGAGGAGGAGGAGGAGGAGGAGGAGGAAGAGGGCCTTGAAATCGAAATCTCAAAAATATGGCACATGAGAACAATAATTCCAGTTTTTTGTTGGAGCTCTCGGATTGATTGGAAAAGGTTCCGATAGACTCAGTGAAGGGATTCCTGGTAGCCCAAGCCTTAAGGGAATACAAAACTTGTGCTCACACATACAGCCCACATATTCGAAGGGCATTATTTTTTAAATATATGTGATCTTGGGTTTTATCCTTTTTATCTCAAAAATGCTCAGTGGAAAATGTCATGATCTTATTTCTGACACTAGGTCTCTGGTTGAGACCCGCAAAGAAATGAGTGTACACCAGAAATCAAAGGAATAATAATAATAATAATAATAATAATAATAATAATATATATATATATATATATATATATATATATATATATATATATATATACACAGTGGGAAAACAAATATTCGTGTACATACAATTTTTTTATTTATTGTATGTCCAACTAATGTATAAACATAGTTTTCATATAATTAACTCTACACATAATAACTAAATATGAATAGAAAACAGAAAAAAGCGATTTAATAGAAATAAATCCCATTTATCCATTTTAATGAGTGAAAATTATTCGTACAATACAAAAAAGAATCCATAATCTTCATTTAATCTTTGTAGAATGGCCATTATTCACTTCTACAGCAATCAACCTCTTCTTTTAGTTTTCAATTAATGATTTTCAAATTTTACTTGCTATTTTGATCCCTTTTTCTTCGCATATAGTCTCCAGATCCGGGATATTTGTTGGTACGCTCTCTTGGATTTGAATTTTTAAATAACGCAACAGATTTTCGATTGAGTTTAAATCTGTGGATTGACTTGACTATTTCAG